ACAAACAAACACACACACACCCACACACACATGTAAACAGACAAACAAACACATACAAACAGCACAAACATGGACTCGAGCCTGATGAGTAACATACAAAAGTTATTCTACGAGAAGATTGAAGTCTTCACGCCCGTCCAATTCAACAGGGTCTCCATTATGACTGGCCTGATTAAGATCTGCCTGAAGGTCATCTCCTGATTATGCTGACGATGATGGTTTTATTATTATTATTATTATTATTTTTCATCGCCACCAGACGCTACTGGAATGTGTGCGTCTGAAGACGTTTGGTCGCTATGGTCTGCAGCAGATGCAAGTCGACTGCTACTACCTACAATTGTACCTTTGGAGATATGTTCAAGATGAAAAGTATGTATCTTTACGTGTCATAATCGTCATCATCATGGTCGTTATTTTTATCATCGTCATCACCATCATCGTCATCATCATCGACATCATCATCATCCCGACAGCATGGTCCACATATTGTTGGATGAGGTGGTTAGTAGCACCATACACAGATGTCTCGATCCAGTTCCTATGGAAGCCAGTGTTGGTTTTCTATTGTTATTATTTATTATCACTATTTATTATTATTATTATTATTACTATTTATTATTATTATTTATTATCACTATTTATTATTATTATTATTATTCATTTATCACTTGTTAGGGTGCTGTCATCCTCCCAAAATCTAAACGCTTTCTTTTTTTATAGGTTGTTGATGTGATCTGTGACAAGAACTGAGAGGAAACAATCATTCATTCATTCTGAAGGGGTACAATCATTTATTCATTCATTCTGAAGGGGTACAATCATTTATTCATTCATTCTGAAGGGGTACAATCATTTATTCATTCATTCTGAAAGGATACAATTATTCATTCATTCATTCTGAAAGGATACAATCATTCATTCATTCAGTAGAACATTCCATAAAACAGGCATTTCAAAAGAATGAATAAACCATCCATCACCATCAGCTAAATGTTTTTCACCATCTACTAAACCAACATTTCAATGCGTTCTAATCTTACTCAATACTGTATTATCATTAATGTTCAAATGCATTAATTGTTTAACCAATTATAATTGATAAAAAACAACAACACACGTTTAGACGACATTTTCCCCGAGATCGGGGGTTGCCGTTTGGCTACCTATGATGAAACCGAAATACCCCTCAACGCCATCCACATCTGTCACTCGCCTCAGTATCACGCAACCCCGCTTTCACCCTGTCCTTCTCCACCTGCTCTCTTCATCCCAATCGCCTTCCACCTTTTTCAGTGCCCCCCTCACACCACTACATTTCTGACATCCTATACACAATACCGAGTTAGCCTTCACTCTCCTGTCACATACTCCACAGGGGTCTATTTTACTTATCACTCGCTCCCCACCTTCCCCACTCACCATTACCTTCGTCTTACCAATATTAGCTTTTAACCCTTTCTTTTCAATAACACTTTTCCATCTGTCAAATTTTAACTGCAATTCTTCCATGCTATCAGCCATCAAGACTAAATCATCTGCATACAAAATCTCAAATAACAATCCCTCCATTATGTTTCCACAGTTCATCCAATAGCATTTCTTCATGTTTGTTTATCATTCATGGATTAATTCATTCATTCGTGCATCCATTCATTTATTTATTAACTCAGTAATAGTGTGTATTTAATTTGACTGGATTAAGACATTTTTTTTTCCAAATGCATTTATTATTATCGTTAGATTGATACTAGATTAATTATCCTCTTAATTTCGAATTTGAGATTACAAACAAATAATAAATAAGTATATATATATATATATATATATATATATATATATATATATATATATGGATATATATATATATATATTTATATATTAAAAATTTCAAATAAATTTGAATTAGTAATGGGACCATAACATTAGTTTTATTAATAAACAGTTATGTTGGTTCTCAAACGATCATACACACATATGATATACATATGTATGTGTATATATATACATATATATATATATACATGCTATCAAAATTTACCATTACAAGAAATTAATCATATCATTTAATTATGTGTAATCAATCAAATTACACTACTTCGAATATAGAAAAAATTTGAAATATAAATAAAATATTTCAACAATTTGTCTGATGATGATTATGAAATACGTTTTTAAATCCTTCAAGCTAAACACATTTTTTTATGATAAAACAACAAAAAATTGAACCAATAGAAAAATTAACTGAAATCAGCTGAAAAACAGATTTTAGTAGAGTTTTGGGTCGTAGTTTGAACAAGAAACAAGGAACAAGAAAAGTAAAATTTCAATTTGAAGTGTTCAATAACAGTGAAACCTCAGTAACAAACAATAACAAAAAAAAGTATTTGACATTTCAACCTAAACTCTTAAAACAAAATTCTTAAAAAAACAAACAAAAAACAAGATAACATTTTGATACAGGATAAACTATCGATGCTTGCCTATGTTTATTTATCGA